ACAGGCAGAGAAAGGCGTGAATGAGAAGTGAGGTTTGCGTGATAGGTGGCCTGAGCCAGACTCCTTATGGATGAGTCTGGGATAACAAGGGTCCAACACCCGGGAAGGGCACCCAGCTATTTCTCTTCCCAGGACTCTTCCGCCTGCCGTGGCAATCTCCTGAGATCCCGCGAGATCACGTTCCTCTGGGAAGAGCGATAGCCGCAGCAGCATTTCGGGTGTAATGCCGCCATCCTCTGAGCCACTCTTAACCCTCAGTCTGTCCTAGCCAATCCTCTCCCTTTCCCTCCATCTGGACCCAAATTTACACCCCTATACACACCTGAAGCTATAGAGCATATCTGGAGGGCTCCAACTGCCTTTTTCGCCCTCCTGGGAAAACCCACACTTTACCCAGCGGGACCAGTACCCAGCAGGTAGGTGTTCTCCTAGTGTTCAAAAGAGACAAACATTTCCTGATAAAGGGGCTTGGGTGAAGGGGCCATCACTGGGTGCTGGCAGTTGGACTAGGTCAGAGAGAGCAGAGAGCAATGCTTTGAGGCTGTACTTCGGGATGAAAGGCTGGAGGTACACGCAGCAATGGTCACCTGGGACAGAGTCTATAAACTTTGCTTCTGCCCAGAAGAACAACTGCCCCCAAGGATGTGCAATGGGATAGTACGTTTGGGTTGTTTCAACCTTGGACCTTGGCAGACATCAGACTGGGGCCTCGGGGTTGTGCACCAGAGGCCCAAGTCACTGCCCAGGGGTCTTCAGCCTCCAGGCAGGCAATAGACTTGCCCCCAGGGCTTGCACAGTTTACTCCTCCATTCTGGCCTCAGGCAGTCCTGCCCCACACGGCCTTTAGACCAGAACCTGATCCCTGACACCTGGCCATGGGCCCCTGGGGTGAAGTACCACTGCACTGTGACTCTGAGTGGGATGGGGGGAGGCACTGACAAAGACTAGAGTTTGATAGGTGGTGTGATGGGGCCTTCACCTGGAAAGCACCAAGGTGTGAAAGGGAAAAAAATCAATTAATGTATTAATTAAAAATAAGACTATAGGTGTAAAGTTTCAGTTACATAAGATGGAAAAGCTCTAGGGACCTGCTGTACAACATTGTGCTTACAGTTAGTAATGTAGTTAAATTTCAGTTAAAATTTTGTTAAGAGGGTAAGATCTCATTCTGGTTTTTTAACCACCATAAAAGATAAGGTTATAAAATATTCTGTGTAATTCCACAAAAGGATGTTTAAAAAACCTATCCCACCTATCTCTGTGTACATACATGGAATTAAATACATAAAAATGTAAACAGTGGTACTTATCTCCAGTGGTGGGATTATGGTTAAATGTTTTTTTCTTTTTCTGCATTTTCTAATTTTTCTAAATTGAAATCAAACTACATTTATAATCAGGCATACTCAGAAAATGATTTCTTCTGTTTCAGATCTCCTTGGTTCTCTCTTGCATTTCTGAAATCAAAGAGGACTGGCCCCATCAGAAGACAAAGCTCCTGTCCAGGATCAGCCATCTTCAGTTGAAGCATGGTTTTATCCCCCAAATAATTTTTTTTTTACCACTTCCACCATTCCAGTCCCTTGGTCTTTACCATGTACAATTCTCTCATCCCTAAGGGATCTTGAAGAATGCTGAGCCCTTTGTTGCTGTCCCTTCTGCCCCCGGAGGTGCTGGCTCCTCTTGCCTACCACAGGAACTTTTTCCATATCGCACACCTGCCAATATGCTAGCTGCGGATGCTCCCACAGGAACTGCTCTTATTAGAGCCACTTCTTCTGATTCTACTTTTGCTAGTGGAAGTGGAAGGAGATAAATGATAAGTGGTATATTAATTGTGGAAATGGGAATGGGAGTTTGAAGGCACTGCTCCTGTGAAGGTCTAGTAGCAGGTATGAAGTGAAGAAATGGGTGAGAATGTGGAGTAGAGGAGGATATTGCTATGATCCTCCATTTTCTCCATACAGAATTTTGCCTCTCCCACTTTGGAGATCCCACAGAATCCGAAAGGCTTCTTCCTACATCCTCTGCACTCTCCTGTTCAGAGAAATACCCATATCACTCTTCCATCACCACCACCTGCCTAAGTGCCTGTAAGGCAGCAATACTAGGTCCACCCCTTCCATCAGTCACGGTAGTAGCTGCTACAAGGCCTGATTCTTTCTCCTCTTTCTCCGGCACCATTTGAACTCTTTCTCTATTGCACCAGCACTAAATTTAGACCCAGCAGGAAAAATATCTGTACATGCTCATCTTTCCAAATGCACAGGAGACATTAGGATCTACAGGATATCATAGTATCTCCTCTCTTCCCCCTCCAAATAGTTAAGTGTTTGTTCCCCCTGACAACCCTCTTTTATTCATGTATTCCTATCCCAGGTAACCAAGGCCTTCACTGTTAGTCATGTCTCTGAGAGAAGAGAAATTTCCAGTATGACAGGATCATTTTTGTTGTCCACCCCCTCATCTCACTATACCCATACCAAGAAGGTGTCCAGATCTTTGTTCCCCCCTTATACCAGGGGAGATTTATGCTGCCAGCCTGTATTTGGTTTTCTATAATCCTGGTCATTTTTTTCTATTTTTTAATTTAAATTCAATTAACATATAGTGTATTATTAGTTTCAGAGGTAGAGGTCAGTGATTCATCAGTCTTACATAATACCCAGTGCTCATTATATCACGTGTCCTCCTTAATGTCCATCACCCAGTTACCCCATCTCCCCCCTGCCCCAACCACCCTCAGTTTGCTTCCTAAGATTAAGAGTCTCCTATGGTTTGTCTTCCTCTCTCATTATCTTGACCCAATTTTGCTAAGGGAGAGAGGAATGACTTAGAGAACAGAGTGAATGAAGGGAGAATACTGTTTATGATACCTAAGCACTCCTTATTCCCTGCCAGAACCCCAGGGAGAAGGTAGGGCCCCAGAGGGGAATGGCTGCCTGGTGCATGTAGGGAAATGGACCCTAGGCATTAGGGCTTCCAGCATTGGCAGATGCCTCCAAACCCCACTGGCCCTGGAAAATTAAATATGCCCACCTTCAAGGGACCATCTGGACTTGGTCAGTAAGGGTAGCATGGAATGAAGGCCCCACAAAAACCTCTCCCCCTCCCATTCTTGGGTAATTCTCATTATGAGAGGGGCCCTCTCATAATGAACAAGACTGCACTTTCCTTCACCTCACTGGGATAGAAGGAAGACGCAGATTTAAGCTGCCACCTCGGACCAACCTGCCCCAACATATTACACAGAAGACACAGCAGGCAAGTGCACACTCTTATTACTAAATAGGATCAGAAAAACCCTGGCAGAGATTGAGCTTGGTGAGCTGGGCACATCTGATGGGGGAAACTACAACATCTTTTGCTCAGACTGAGGCTGATCTACCTTCCCACTCCCTGGGCTCCACCCTGGCTCCCTCCTTACTTGTAGCAGCTGCCTCAGAAGAGCAGAGAGCCTTGAGAAGAGTACACCAAGCAGAAGAGAAGGGGACCAGGGACATCCTCAAGAGTGCTTGTCCCAGTCCAGTATTATTTTTAATCCAATCCAAGAGAAGAATGATGTCTGCTCTTGGAATCTATCTTGTTCTTCATCCACTCTTGACTGGAAAGGGGCTTGGGATGAAGGTAGCCAAGACTGAGGGTTCAAATGTGTAGCCAACACTCCCTTAAGTATTGTCTTTAAGTCACCCAGTAGTCTTTCAGGCAACCAGGAAAATAGGTTTTCCCTCTCAAAGGAAGAAACCAGACTTTCAGAAATGTCCTGCCTTTACTTTGTGATGCTACTTTCCCAATCTTTGCCACTGTTCATTTGTTTCACCTAGGAGCAATGAGATGAGCAGTCTGGTAAATCTTCTCATGAAAGTCTCTGATGTTGCTCCCAGAACTGCAAAAATATCTATGTTATTTCAATTGGGTTTACCCAAAGACCATATTATACACAAGTCAAAGAAGTCACTTCTGATCTCAAAGTAGGCTCTCTCTTATCATCTAAGCAAACTCACCAAAAAGTTGTGATGTGTGCACTAAATATGAACATATGGCTCTAGGTCCTAACATACATTAGGTAATCAATAAGTACTTGTTTAATGAATTAAATGTAATCCATCAAATTTGCTATCATCTATAGAATTTAACACTGCAACACCCCCCCAACTCTTCCAAATTAATCCCAACAGAGAAATTACATTCTAAAAAAATTGTTTTGCCCTCCCTGCCCCGCTACTGAGTGCCAGAGCATCTCTTCTTCCCTGACTTCCTCTCACTCTTCTCAGTTCCAGCCAATGGGGGGATCTCAACGAGGTGCAGGTCAGCTGGAGTCAAGGTGTGATTTCTTTAGACTCTTGGGAAATCTAATGGGACGGGTTTAGCTTTTTCAGCAACAAACAAGTTCTGTGAGGCTCAGAGACACAAAAACAGGCCCTCATCTATAAAACTTAAACAAGAAGCAAACATGAACACTGTCGTTTACAAAGGAACAATAGCATTTTGAAGGAAGAGCGGTGCTCCTAAAATTCAATATAGTTAAAACTCAAAAAACACATGGTTGTTCCTAGCCAGCAACATAACATTCTCAGGAAAAGGAGGTTAATAAGAAAACAGAAAAGAGTGAAAAAGGAAAAGGCTTCTTGACTTCAGCCTCTCCAGGGTGTCAACCAATCAGCCTCAGCTATCCAGAATCCACCACCTGTGAACTTAAATGCAATTAAGAGAAATCCCCTATTTAAAATGTGTGATGCTCAAAAAGTAGTCTATCCTTGTTAAAATAAATATATAAAATAAAAACATAGATACATCTATGCTTGTGTGTGTTTGTAATCAGAATGATAAAAAGTGATTATTGGGTAATGGGATAATGGACGATTTTATTTAATTTTCTATACCATAATTTTGGTTTTCAAATTTTCTGTGAAGTAAATGAGCTACTTTTTTATCAGAAGGGGGTCTTATGAAATTGGTTTTTCTTTGGAGTGTTTCCATTCTTACTTACCTTCCTAAAATTAGTGAGTTTGTCCTGGGTCCCGGCCTCTACTCTCACCTGCCACACAGACTTTCTTGCATTTATAGCAGGACTTGCGCCATGAAAAATTCATGGCTTTACACCATGGGCAGTCCCAATTCTTGGGACTGCATACTGAGGCAGGCTTCCCCTGTTTTGGGAATCCGAGGCTTTTTTCCCTTTTGGTTGCTTGGCCTTCTGCCCCGGAGGTTGCTGTTTCTTAGGGCTTTTTCTCACACCACTGCTCTTGCTGCTTCCCAGTGGGGATGTCCCCAGGGGCCTCTCTGGATTTTCTTGGCTGTGGCTCTTGCTGTTCTCCAGGGGGTACTTCTCCTGGGGCATCAGTGGACATTCCTTCTGGCTGGAGCGTCTGTCTCCCAGGGGCGCTGTCCCCTGAGGTCTCTCCAGATCTTTCTGGCTGTGGCTCCCTATGTCCTCCAGGGAAGTCATTCCCTGGGGACACACAGGACCTTCCTCTTGCTGTTCCCCAGGGGACATCCCCCCTGGAGGGTCTCAGAATATTCCTCCTGGTCACAACACCTCTGGTCACACAGTGGTGCCATCTGCTCCTGGGCCCCCACTGCAGCCCATGTGCCAGGTGGGTAGACCCCCAGAGGTGGTATCTAAGGAGGGACTGCTGCTGCTGGTGCGTCTGCTTCCACAACTACTGCGTGTGGTGCAAGTGTCGAGTATGGGAATCCTATTGGGAATGATGCAGAGAATGGGAATGGATGTGACACCTGCACTGGCCGACAGGGTTGCAGGGCCCAGCAGTTTGGAGGTGCCTGCACATAAAGCACAGCTGCTGGAGCTGCCACAGGAGCCGCCCAGCTGGAGCTGCTGCTGAAGCTGCCATCTGGGCCTCTGAACGGTGCATGGGCTGTGCCCCTGTAGCCATCATCTTGCCCTGCTCATCCACAACCTCTGGCCATGCAGTGGCCCCATGCTGTTCTGCTCCCGACTCAGACGTGACCTCCTGAGGAGGTCGGTCAGCCCGGGCCGACTTCTCTGCCTGGAGCAGTCCCCCGCGCAACACATTTCTCTCATCCAACACCTGCTGCAGAGCAGCCCACGAGCATTGAAGCTGCGCAGCCACCTCCTTGCGCTCCCCACGCAGCCGCTGCAGCTCGGAGGCCAGGGCCCAGGCAGCCGTCTCGCGCTCCTCCACCTGCTCCTGCAGCCGCCGGAGGCGGTGCGCCTGCTGCTCTCGCTGCCTCGCAGCCACACGCACGCTCAAGGCCAGCGCGCTCCAGGCACAGGCTCTCTTAATGGTGCGCGGCACCTGAGGGTCGGCCACGACAGTCTGAAGCTGGTCCTCCACCTCATTCCAGGGCCGTGAGCGGAAGGCCACGTAGAAATCTGGGCCGCCGCCGTTCATGAGGACTTCGTTGTTGATGAACCTGATCACCTCCGTGTGGCGGAACCCGCTGGCGTGGTCCCCAAAGTCAACCGCCATGGCTGCTGCGGCCTAGTTAACCGACCGCCTCACAGGCGATGATACGGCCCCTGCTGCCACCAGTAAAGTCCACTGCTCACCTCCCCACTCAGTCCTACTAAAGTCCCTTTCCAGTCCGGCCCTCCTCCTTGGCTTCTTTTCTCCGTCACTCCCAAGTTTTTCCAAAAAAAAAAAGGAAGAAAGAAAGAAGGAAGGAAGGAAGGAAGGAAGGAAGGAAGGAAGGAAGGAAGGAAGGAAAGAAAGAAAGAAGAAAAAAGAAGGAAAGAAAGAAAGAAGAAAGAAAGAAAGAAAGAAAGAAAGAAAGAAAGAAAGAAAGAAGAAAAAGGAAAAGAAAGAAAAGCAGATTCTCTCACCACACCAACCCCCAGTGCACGAAAGGCGACGATGGCTTGATGCGTCACAGACAAGAGCTCTGAGCCATGCATGCCACCACAAGGTGTGCTGGGACTCACCTCCTGGGCCAAGCACCCCCTGGAAGGCGAACCAGGTGGATGGCTTCGTTGGGTAGTACAATGAGCCCAAACAGGGACAGGGCACAACAGATTCCTTGGAGATAATAATAGTTGTCACTCATGCACGTAAGGTCACACACTCTCAGTCGAAAAGAAAGGGTAGGTCAGAGAAGGTCAGAGAACTTCTGGGGGAGGGAGCGAAGAGAGTCGAGGTGGAGGCTGGGGTTGCAGGACCCCCTGTTTGGGGAGATAAATAGGGTGCAAGCCAGGGGTCTATCAAAACCTAGAAAAGGGGCAGGACAATGTTGAGAGTGAAGGCTGTGGTAGTGCTACTGCTGTGGGAAAGGGAACGAAGCTGCACGTTGGGGCAGCAGTGGGAACCAGGTGAAGAAGAGCAGGAATATACCACCCCCAAAATATGCCACTTGGGCACATTACTTTGAGTTGAAGTTACTTAAGAAACAGCTGATATAAGCAGGACACTTTAACCCTCCTTTGTGCCCCTGAAAGGAAGAAATAAATCACCCATGTGAAGTGAACCCACTCTATACCCAAAGAGTAAAAGGCACCTTTACCACCAGAAATAGGTAAGGAATTTAGGGCTGAGAAGGCTACATAAAATACCATATTATTTCTTCTCTAATTTACAACCCCAAACCCAAACCTCTTTGTCTTGTCAATTCTTTACCTTTTTTTTTTTTTTTTTTTTTTGTCTTGAAGTTATAAAAGCTGCCTGCTTTGGTCACTTTTTTGAGTCTTATATTTATATGGGGTTCCTGTATGTATGAAATTAAATTTTTCTCCTGTAAATTTGTCTTATGTTAATTTAATTATTAGACCAGCCAAAGAACCTAGAAGGGAAGAAGGCAAAAGTTTCCCACCTCTACAGTTTTGGCACCTGACCTGGAACCCTCCACTAGATATTGTTCAGTCTTGGGCTGCTGCAGCTAAGAGATCCTGGGATCTGAAAAGAGTCCACAGAAGGTAAGAATTCTTACCACATAAGTCTCCTGGTCTACCCATCTCTGCTCACAGGGTCTGGTGGAAGTGAGTGAGAGGCCTTTTGTTTTTCTAAATTGAGTTAGCAGGAGAATATATTTGTGTGATCAAGTTCCTTGGATATAGTGACTCTGATAAATATTTATTATGAGTACTCTTGTTTTCTTTTTTTTTTAAGATTTTATTTATTTATTTGACAGAGAGAGAGAGAGCGAGCACAAGCAGGGGGGTGCAGGCAGCAGAAGGAGAGGGAGAAGCAGGCTCCCCACTGAGCAGAGAGCCCGATGCGGGGCTCAATCCCAGGACCCCGGGATTACGGCCTGAGCCAAAGGCAGACACAACTGACTGAGCCACCCAGGCGCCCCCAGTACTCTTGTTTTTTATTGATTTTTTTCCTCCCAGAGATGGTCACTGTTTTCTTTTGTCTCTGTCCTTTGTGTCATTTGTCATAAGGAGGGAAACCATAGGGTAGAATGCTTCACAAACTGGTGAGTTCACAGTTCTCACCAGACTGGCATCTGTTTAGACAAACTTGGCTGTGGATCCTTTATGTAAAAACCAGATGAGGTTTTCTTTTCATCTTGTTCTGTCCTGAGAGTATGGCATTGTGACCAGTGAGAATATTCTCTCTGGTCTCTGCCAGCCAGAAGGTACAAGTACTGGCTTGCATCTGGTAGCCAGCCAAATGGGCTGGGAATCCCAACATATGAAGTCACAGGCAACATTCTGTTTGTCCAACTGTACCAGCTGTCAGGGGAGTTTGTCATAAGTTGTCCCAGTTCATAAGGGGCCTTTGTTGTCTAAACCAATGTTGTCTTGTTAGTGCTGGAAAAGTATAATTATAATAGCACCTGCTCAGTGGCACAGATTAGTGGGTCTGTGACTGGAGGCATCTCACATTCTCATGAGAAACTGGAGACACCATTTTTACTAGTGGTGACAACAAAGGTTTTTGTTTTCTTAGGCTAACTCTGGGAGTGAACCCTCTGGATCTTGTGAGCACTGCATCTTTTGCACTCTTTTGGGATGCCTCTGATGTTCATGGTTAAGCTATAAAAAGTCTTACTGGTTTGAGTCTCTATTGAGATTAATATAAGATCCTACTTGTCAATGCCAAACAATAAATCCTTTGAATTAGAAAACCTTCTATATTTGAAAAAAAATTAAAGAGCTCTCAACCTAAACAACTGCCTTGTTGGTATCTATGGAAATACCAAATTAGAAAGTGGATACAGAGGAGTATAATTACTAGCTTTAGAGATTCCCTTAACAAGATTAAAGAACAGAAATTAGACTTAGAACGAAAGTTAAAGTCCACATCCAACATAAATTCCTCTTTTTAAAATCCAGCTCTGTCACTAAATTATACACCTGAATCTAATATTACGCTGTATGTTAACTAACTGGAAACTAAAAAAAATAAAATAATAAAATCCAGCCCTGCCTCCTCAGCAAATTCCTTTAGCTCCTAAAACTTCTCCAGCTTCCCCAGAAAATCCCTTAAACATCCAGCTGCCTGTTTTAATCTCCCTTTCCCTACAAGATTTACCACAAGCACTCTGGCCTGATCTCCAGGTCTAGGGTACACATGTTACTCATGCTGGAAGCCAGGAAGTGAATTTAGCAGAAGCACAAAGCTAGGTGGTAGGATTAACTTTGCCCTGTCCCTTACAATTCCTCCTGCTCTCCAGAGCTCTGTAATCCAGCTCATTTGTATTTCCGTTGGGTGCAGTGGAACAAATCATATTTAAATAGGAAAGAACAGATTGGATTTCTGTTGACAGATCCAATGGTCAGAAAAGTTTTCCTCTTTTGCAATGGATTAGGCCAAGAAAGAAAGGGATGAAATAAGGTAAGAAGCAACAGTGAGAAATACAGGTATGGTCTAGTCATCTTGGGAAAGCGTCTCCTTCAGCTGTCATCTGCTTCAATTCCTAGAAATCTTTATTTTCAGGTCATCAGTTGATGTGCAGATCTAGTCAGGATTTGGTGCTTTCTGTAGAGGTGACACATGGATCCAAGGGTCTATTCTTTGGAGTTTGGCAGCACAAGGGTTGGTTAACAGTACTTAATAGGGGTCTTTCTAACAGGGTTGAAGAGAGTCTTTCTGTAGATGTCTTTTCCAATAGATGAAATCTCTGTATTGCAAGGTATGATGCTTAAGATCTTTATCTCCCAGGAACACACTGTGGAAAGATTGTTCTACTAAAGCATGGTTATTTCCAACAGAAGCAATTAGGCCTTTGCAATATTTAAGCATATCTCCTTTCACCATTTATGGATTGAAAGAAGCAGGAGCCAAGTACATGGGCCATCCTGTGAGAGTTTATGAGTTCCAAAAGGGGTTGACCTGAAATTTAGAACCACTAATGGCAGTGCTTTTGGCCAGGGTATTTGAAGGATCTCTACAAATTTTGCCTAATAATGCTGTTAGTGCATTCAGTTAGCCCTGAGGATTGAAGGCAGTAAGCAGAGTAGGAGTGTTGAACACTGGCCAAACAGCACAGACCTGTTAAAGTGAGTTCCCTGGTCACTATAGGGTTCAAGGGGGATTCCCCAGGTAGGTATGATCTTTTCTGGTAGGATTTTAGCCACAAAAGTAGCAGTCCAATAAGAAAACATACAAACCATTACCAAGACATATTTATATCCATGAAATAGGGGAAGCTAAATAAAATCCATCTGCCAAATCTTGAATGGTCCATTGGGCAATTTGAAGGGTCCAGGAGCAGTTGCAGACAGCTTTTCCTGAATTACATTTCAGGCAGATGGGACAAGCGAAGTAGGCACTCTGTGACCTTATTAATATTTAGCCATTAGTATTGGCTTATAAAGGTTTTTGTTTTATTAGTAGACTAATGATTCATTGCATGTGTACTAGTCAGTAATGGGAACTTTAGAGTCTCTGGCAGCACTGGATTATTATATGGCCCAACCCAGAGTTTTCTTTTTTTATTGAACCAACACTTAGTAGATTTCCAATATTGTTTTATCCTTTCCTGGGGCCAATTGTTGGACATCTCTAGTCAATTTTTCGGGATTATTATTTGGGAGAACATACATCCCTTTGGACCAAGACAGAGGTTTAGTTGTTTCTTCCTTTGAGAGCAGAATACTTTGCAGAAATAATCAAGGTGATGAAGCCATTAGCCTCCAGGGAATCAAGTTTGGAATGTGCAGGGACCTTGATACTGGCAAAAGTGTCTGCAAGAGTATGGCATCTAATTATTTCTGGATATAAAGGCCATTTTTAATTTTGTCCCCGCTGGAAGTGAGGAAGCCTTGCTGTTTCCATAACATTCTAAAGTCATGAGCTATTCCAACATACCTACTGTTAGTATAAATATTTGCGGTTTTGCCCTTGGCTTAAAGTGCAGGTCTGATCAAGAATATACAATTCAGTCTGTTGGGACAATTTAACCAAGGGCAAAGGTGTTGCCTCAATGACTTCAAAAGGAGTTGCAATAGCATACTGAGCATTATATTTATCATTTTCACCTTTTAAATAAGAATCATCAGTAAACCACGGAGAGTTAATGTTATACAAAG